AGATTAGATTAGATTAGATTAGATTAGATTAGATTAGATTAGATTAGATTAGATTAGATTAGATTGAATTTTATCGGGTTAAATGTGATTAGATTAAGTTTGATTTAATTTATTTTTACTTTTATTGCCTTGACGATATGATCCATTTTAAATTTTGTTTATTCTTTTTTTTCATTTCTTTTATTTTTTATTCTTCTTTTGAATACACTTTTTGTGTACTATGTTACTTGTTTCGCCGTTTTCCTTATAGCATTTTAGGTGAGCCGTCTGGTTTTTCAGTGCGATAGGGGAAGCCTTTCAGAGAGCTTGAAAGGCGACTGACTTGAATGTGATCATCAGAACATCGGATTCTTTTAGCTGCAGTCAATCTAAATTCTTTAGCACGGCTTTAGCAGTCCATCAACCAGGCATTTAGGGCGTGGGGAAATTCATTGTGACGTCAATAGTTCCCTTTGCCTCAATTCAACCATTAGGACTGAATAATTATTTTTTACGCCAAAGCACCTGTTTTATGCACTGGAAACGGGCATAACACATTTTCAACTAAGGCTGGCTGAGATATATCTTTTTGATTGTGATTTTTATCACGTATTAACTGGGACACGAATGCCTCAGTCTTCACTCAAATAAATTTCCAGTCATCTCCTTTACACTTTTTATATGTTCATTTCCCTTGCCCATCTTTCCCTTTTGATTGACTTTTCCGCAAACCATTGACATTTTACTCGCGTTTTTTCGGCTTTTTCTGCAACCTCGTTTATTCGAGTTACCTATTTTCAACTTCTTTCTAGAATCTTATTCTCCTTCTGGCTTCATACATGCCCACCCCCACCCCCCTCACACACACACATACACACACACACAGTCAGACTATCCTCTCCTATTTACCTGGATTATAGAATGTGTTTTGCCATTCGGACGCTGGTTTCTCATGGATAACTCGCAGTTTTTCGTATCGTGTGTAAGATACGGAGGCATAGAATAATTAACAAGGAGGCCTGAGGAGTTAGCTGGGATTAACAGAAAAGCCCCATACAAGAACTATTGCCTGTCGCCCCACCACATGAAAGAATCTGTCGGCTCGGCTGTCGAGGTAAGTTTTGAGGGTAGACAGAGCAGGAAGGCCGTTGAGGGGTTGGGAGATTGACTTGAATAACCTGTTGAACGAACAGCAAGACAAGGGCAGTAACGAGAGAAGCAACGTCCGAGACGAATCAGGCTCTGTGGGCGGTGAGGACGGCCGTACACCTCTGCTCCGGTTCGGCAAAGGTTCATCACCCTTTCGTCAACAACATCAGTCAAAGTGAAGCGAAAAGAAACACCAACCTGAACCAGATCAAGCAATAGTTCCAATTATGTGGCGTTCGACATCAATATATATATTTATTTATTTATTTATACATTTATGCATATTTATTTTTATTTTTATTTATTTACTTATTTATGCATATTTATTTTTTATTTTGAATTTTATTTATTTATTCATTTGTTTGTATGTGCATAAATGTATATATATATATATATATCCAGTGGATGGATCAAGCAATAGTTCCAATTATGTGGCGTTTG